ATATATATATATATATATATATATATATACATTGTCCAACTGAGGCCTAGAACTTTCTACAAACTAGAGATGCTATGATGTAACAACACTCACTTAAGGCAATGAGAAAAATACAGAAGGTACGTCTCTTACCAAGTTATGTAACTAAATTTGTCCTTACCATTGCTTTTAAAATAATTAACTTTTAACTTGTTATAAAAACTAAATAATAATTAAATATTAGATCACTAAATGAATTAAACAATAACTTACACTAAACAGTCTTGTATATCCAGCATCTCTGATGTTTAATACTATATTATTCATAACCAATAGAAAGCCAAAGTTTTAATCTGTCAAATTACATATTCAATTACATTGTTTTCTGTACAGAGAATTGTCTATTTCTCTTCCAATTCAACCTTTGTTCCCATGGGAAAGTTAACAACCAGCTTGGATGAATTTGTAATGGCTCTTATCGCATTGTTAGAAAGCCAGAAACATTGCAATATTTATGGGACATTGTCTGGTTTTGAATGGTATTATTCTGTGTTCTTTGATGTGTTATTTAATTAAGTAAAAATTATTTAATGCAGTAGTATCATTAGTATAAAAAAAGTAGGGTTAAGTTTTATCAACAGTATAAAAAAAAGACCCAGGTATGTACTGTATTTCTTGTTTTTCATGTATATTCTTCATTCACTATTATAAAAGTAGCTAAAATATAAAAATTAAAAACTTTTGAGGTTAGAAACAGTTAATTAGGTAAAATAAAGAATAATAATAACAATAACGTTTTTTCACAAGGTATGCTCTCGAGCAATTCGCAAGTAGCAAGTGTATTATGTAAGCTATTCATTTGCCAATTGATTTACATTTTATATGGTGGGAATATTAGTTAGACATGGTTCAAAGAGCAATAAAACAATAAAATTTAAGTATAAACAGATGTGTACTGTTATGAGTTTAAAGCTTTTTAGGATAAATAAATGTAGTTTCATGTTACAATTGGAAATCATTCTAAGAAAAAATAGGCTATTTAGATTTATTTCTTTTTGGTGGTTACGAGGTTGATCAAATTGACCGACCTCGTTTAGAGCTAGGGTAGAGAAAATAAGATAAGATATAAAGTTCTACTGAAAGAAAACATGTGAAATTTATTTAGGAGGTTTTAGAGATTACTTAAGTGAAATGTGAGATTTTTTAGATGTTAATCTTAATGTGAAAATCACTCAGAGTAGTCAACACTTTGACTTTATGTATTCATGGAGAAATTGTTAGTGAAAATACTTCATTAAACATTCTGATTTTTTGTCTATAAATGACATTAATGCTTACTGAAGATTTGTGAAACTTCCTGAAGATACACAACACACATTAGAAGTAATAGTATATAAATTCTAAAGATAAATGTGTAGGTTGAATTGTAGCGAGAGAGTTAAACAGTCTATGGTCATTTATTTTGTTTTTTATTCCATACTGTGTGGGTGTCTATAAAGGAAGGGTAGTAGGAGTTGAAATGTTGTGGGTGTAACCACTCAATTCTATACCATTAATTAATTTTCCATGTTTGCTGGCTAGTTTAACATCAGTGTTTGGGTTTTATCTGATAGATAGGATATCCCCAATGTAATATCTGCATTAACTACAGGCATTATCTGCTATGACTTTAAAGTGACAATGGGAACTCTATGAAAATCTTTTTAATGCTTATATTATATATACATACATACCTCTATCTGTGTAAACTACTTGTATCTGATGATGACAAAACCTTGTTAAAATGTACTAAATATCTTATTACGTTAAGCTTGCAATGAATGATGAAGCTTTCTTCATTATCTATTCAATCTTCTATCTTAATTCTCTCAAAGAGGGTTTGGTTCCTAGTCATCAAACTTAAGTTTTTTCCTGTCTGATTACATAGCATATTTCCTTCAGTGAGTTGACTTATGATGTTTAGACAACGTATTGTCCCTTGGTGGGTCAGCTATAAGTTCACTTACTTATGATGTTTATATAGCATATTGTTCCCTGGTTGGTCATTAGTAAATTCACTTACTTATGATGTTTATATATCATATTGTTCCTAGGTTAGTCATTAGTAAATTCACTTACTTATGATGTTTATATAGCATATTGTTCCTAGGTTAGTCATTAGTAAATTCACTTACTTATGATGTTTATATAGCATATTGTTCCTAGGTTGGTCAGTAGTAACTTCGCTTACTTATGATGATTAGATAGCATATTGTTTCTAGGTTGGTCAGTAGTAACTTCGCTTACTTATGATGATTAGATAGCATATTGTTCCTAGGTTAGTCAGTAGTAACTTCACTTACTTATGATGATTAGATAGCATATTGTTCCTAGGTTAGTCAGTAGTAACTTCGCTTACTTATGATGATTAGATAGCATATTGTTCCTAGGTTAGTCAGTAGTAACTTCACTTACTTATGATGATTAGATAGCATATTGTTCCTAGGTTAGTCAGTAGTAACTTCGCTTACTTATGATGATTAGATAGCATATTGTTCCTAGGTTGGTCAGTAGTAAATTCACTTACTTATGATGATTAGATAGCATATTGTTCCCTGGTTGGTCAGTAGTAAATTCACTTACTTATGATGTTTATATAGCATATTGTTCCTAGGTTAGTCAGTAGTAAATTCACTTACTTGTGATGATTAGATAGTTTATTGTCCCCTGGGGAGTCGGTAGTAAATTCATTTACTTATGATGATTAGATAGCATATTGTTCCCTGGTTGGTCAGTAGTAAATTAACTTACTTGTGATGATTAGATAGCATATTGTCCTCTGGTGGGTCAGTAGTAAATTAACTTACTTGTGATGATTAGATAGCATATTGTCCTCTGGTGGGTTAGTAGTAAATAAACTTACTTATGATGATTAGATAGCATATTGTCCCCTGGTGGGTTAGTACTAAATTAACTTACTTATGATGTTTAGATAGTTTATTGTCCCCTGGTGGGTCAGCAGTAGGTTCATTGATGCTAAGCCCTGGAGTTCTATTCCCCACAGGAATTATTAGACAGAGCACAGATAGTCCATTGAGCTTAAGAAAGATAGTAAATCACTGGTTTGGGAGTTTTTGTATTGCTTGTTGTGTCCTTCCCTTTATAAATTTTAATTTCATATGAACATCTGGATAATAGCAGGTTGTGCATGTAAATATATTTGAATACTTCATTACAGCTTGAAGTATTTTATCATTCAATTTGATATGAATATTATTGTATGAACCATACAAGATCACTGTAGAAAAACCACAATGTTCTTGGCAAGTAAAGTTTTAGCTTGTTTTTACACTCACAATATTGTCTTGTTTTAATAAATTTTGAATTATTTTTTGTCAAATGCAGGTATAACAAGAAAAAAATTTATATAAAGAACAAGTTGATAACGTATAAAAAATTCACAGTGAACTAAGACACTTTTATAAAAGATGTCTGCATTTTTTTTTATCAGAGAATTAAAGTTTTAGATTTGTTGACTTTTTGCTTAGACTTGGTGTTGAGCTTAATTTTTATGCAAATTCTTTATTGTTTATTTAATTGTTTCTGTAATTTAACTTTAGGATGGATCATTCTGTAAATATTCATAATGTGATTGTTGTGTGTTTACAGCATCAGCCATAGGTGTAAGCTCTGGTAACCTAATGCCATTCAATCAACCATATGCCCTTACCTTCCCATCAATGGCTTCCCTTGGTTGGACTTCTTCATCTGACTCTTCAGTTCTAGCATCTTCAAGCTTCTCCCTTCCTGTTTCTCAGCCAAATATCTCAATGTTGAATGCCTCTACATCTCCCCTGACTACCCTAGGAGGAGCTCCCCCTCAAGTCCAGTTATCTCTGGAGCCTCCAGACAGTGACATATCGCAGGAATCTTCTGAACCCTGTGAAAGTAACGGAACTTTGTCCATGGACCTTGGATCAACTTGTCCTGCTGTTAAACAAGAAACTGATTCCATGTAATTTTATTGTCACGATATTTATTATTCTGAATTGATGAAGTGTTGTACAGTGTAGATATAGTATGGTACCGGTTTTTATATTCTGTTTTACAGATACATGTAACTTACTTCTAATGACTCATCACCTGTAAATACTCGTTTTAAACGCCTATGTTTGGAATTTTTATTACTCTTGTGTTAACATTGTTAGAAGTCTTCATTTTCCTCTTTATTTATTTACTTTATTAACTTTAAAAAAAGTTTTTTTTTATCTGCAAAAAGTATGTTTATCAGGTGTTCTCTTGTTAACTTTCACCAGTTGCCAGTAATTATTCAGGTTCAAGTAAGCATCTACTAAATATAATTAAAACCAACCTAGAAATGAATTATATTTTTTTATTGACCTATTTAACTAATCTTTGAGAAAAAAGAAAAGTGAAGTCAAGAATTTTAAGATAAAATCTTGGGTCATTAATTGGTTTCTTTGTATATGGATATTTTTAAAGCAAATCAGTTTCATTTGTCAGAGATTAAAAATGAGTGATGATATAAAACTGAATATTTAGTAAGTTCAGAAGTGAAATTTCCACAGAAATTGGAAAGTAAAAGCTTTTATTGTTCATATTGTGAAGTTCACCATCATGCTTGGCTAGAAAATTTCCAAAGTGCAAGATAACATGTTAATGAAAACTTTTGAGCATTATATAGTAAACCACAAGACATTCTTTTTTTTCCAAGATCATCTACAGCATAGAAATAATTACATGTCATAATATCATTTCTAGTGTATGATAATTTAACAAATACAGTCTTATACCTTGACTTCTCTGATATGTGTCTTTCTTCTAAAGATATTTGATATGTTTGTTTGTTTTTCTGCTTAATTGCTTATTAGTATTTATTTGTTTTCTAATTTAACCATTAAGTGGCTGCTTTTTGATTTATGTAAATATTGGTAGAGTATAGCCTTTTGTATCTTTAGTGTATTTTATAAGTCCTGTTGTTCTTCGTGCTCTCAATAATAGTGAGTCAAGCCAAAAACATAGTTATTGTGTTATGGTTCAACTTATACTGTAATACAGTGTACAGAGCAGAAGGGTCAGTAGCTCAGCGAGTGAGATTGAGGAGCAGAAAATTTATGGATTATGAATGACCAGTATTTGGATTCATTGCAGTTTTGATTTTTGCTACATTGTTAAACAAAGAAAGAAATGAAGATTTTGATTCTAAAGAGAATGTATATGGAAATAGTACAGAGGATTTTAATGGTTTTTCTGTTGTTGACTGTAAACAAACAGCTGTAAACAATTCAAAAACCTTAAAAATAAGTAAAAGTAGAAAATAGTGAGTAAAATATTTTCACTATCATCATTCATATTTCATTCAACTGCCACTTTTTAAAAGGGCTTTTCATTTCTTTGTAATGATGTACAATGCCAAAGCTAGTGAATAGTATAATGTGATATTGTATCACAGTAAGACTGATTGTTTTCTTTCATTTGTCTATCTTAGGATAAAAGATCACCCTTCCAGAAACTAGCTGGTTTCAGTGTTTTTAAATAAATAAACTTTAAAATTCTTTCTTTTCATTAGATTTCTTGTTATTTTAGTTATGTATTTCTTATTTATTAATTAATCTGAAATACATTTTGTTATTGTTGTTTCAAAATTTTTTTATATTTTTATAGACATATGTTCATCAGAAGGAAACATTTTAATCAGTTTCATATATTAAATGTAAATTAAATCTCGCATATTAAGAAGTTTTTAAATTCTTAGGATGTGTTCTTTTATTACTTTATTTTGTACAATTGTTGTTTTTTAACTCGAAAATCACGGGAAATGATGTATGTATTCATGCATTAGATTGATTTTTTATTGAAGACAGTTCTAAGTTGCATGGCCATATCAAGTAACATTTGTTGCAATATTTTAATGTACATTTGAAGGTTGTATCACTGTATTTGAAATATGTGTACATATTGCTCAGTATTTAGCTAGATCAAGTTTTTTTCAATATTTGTTTTGTAGGTTTCATTGGACAACTCAGGTACACACAGTCCACTCTTGTTATCTATCTAATACAGTTCTGAGTAAGTTTTTATCATGAAACACCTGTCTATATGAATTGTCTACTTGCAAAAGGGAGTTTTTAATATAATGTCTAGAGATATTTTGTAAATAGTTTTGTTCTCATTTTTGATTTTCTTTTAAAACCAGACTCCCATTTGTTATTTTAATCTGGTTTGAATGTACAAACAAAACAGCACGATTAACATACACAATATGCCTTTAAAATATGCAACAAATACCACTTTGTTTTTATCATACATATGTACATGGCATACATACCTAAACAATTTCTGATTTTAAACAGAAATACTGGAAAAAATAGGCTTAGTCATTTTTTAGTTCTGTACATGCAAGTGTAAATTATGTATCTATACCATGATGTTATGGTATATGTGGAAGTGGTTTGATATTTGTGTGGCTTTTAAATTCTTTAGGTGCAATGTGGTTAAAAATGTGTTTTTCTCTGTGATAACATTAATGTCTTGTAACCCTGTTTAAATTTAGTGTTATCTACTTCAATGTAAAATTGTATCCTTTGTAGCATGTCAATTTTTATACACTTAAAACCAATGGTAAATAAATGTAGTTTGTTATAAAATCTTTTGTTGTACACTTGTAATATTCTTTCTTTCATGCTTTAAAATTTTGGGAAATTTATGTAATAGCCCTTTCCGATGCAAAATATTCATACACTCAGATCATAAATATGTGTTCAGATTGTGAAAGTAGAATTTCCAAGATGGGGATGTCACTTATACTAAATGTAAATGGTGAAAAAGGGAATATGGAGCATCTTGGGACCCCTGGACCATCCAATTGGAAAACTGCAAGATGTTCTACTCCAGCAGTAGTAAGCAAAGTGTGGCATCTTAAAACAGATGAGAATCTACTAACTTAAAGATCAGAGTATGGATTCACCAAGATAAGGCTTCCTCTCATACCTCCTGTTCAACAGCTGGAGGTATTCATGATATTCCATAGAGTGACATGCTTGTAAAGCACTGGACTATGAATTTATGTGCAATTGGACTATTGTTAACCATCCTCCTCATGAACTAGATAGATTTTGGAAAGCAGTAAAAAGTAGGAGAAGTTGTACTTTAGACATGACAACCTTACAAGTGGAGCCTTTTGTGATGTAAACTATGCTGCAGGGATATTGTCAAGATGAATGGTTGTCAGATAGAGAATAACAAGATGTGGCAACATGGACTGTAATGACATGTTAATATAATATACTTCACCTCAATAACTAGATGTGGTAACATGGACTGTAATGACGTGTTAATATAATATACTTCACCTCAATAACTAGATGTGGTAACATGGACTGTAATGACGTGTTAATATAATATACTTAACCTCAATAACTAGATGTCACAACATGGACTGTAATGACAAGTTAATATAATATACTTAACCTCAATAACTAGATGTCGCAACGTGGACTGTAATGACAAGTTAATATAATATACTTCACCTCAATAACTAGATGTGGTAACATGGACTGTAATGACAAGTTAATATAATATACTTAACCTCAATAACTAGATGTGGTAACATGGACTGTTATGACGTGTTAATATAATATACTTAACCTCAATAACTAGATGTCGCAACGTGGACTGTAATGACATGTTCATATAATATACTTAACCTCAATAACTAGATATCGCAATGTGGACTGTAATGACATGTTAATATAATATACTTAACCTCAATAACTAATGTGGCAACGTGGACTGTAATAACATGCTAATATAATTAACCTCAATAACTAGATGTGGCAATGTGGACTGTAATGACATGTTAATATAATATACTTAACCTCAATAACTAATGTAGCAACGTGGACTGTAATAACATGTTAATATACTTAACCTCAATAACTAGATGTAGCAAAGTGGACTGTAATGACATGTTAATATACTTAACCTCAATAACTAGATGTGGCAATGTGGACTGTAATGACATGTTAATATAATTAACCTCAATAACTAGATGTAGCAAGGTGGACTGTAATGACATGTTAAAGAGTATACTTAACCTCAATATCTAGATATCAAAACATGGACTGTAATGACATATTCAAGCTCCAAAATAGTTTTAATATCATATACTCAATCTCAATAACTAGATGTGACATCTTGGACTGTAATGACATGTTAATATAATATACTTAACCTCAATAACTAGATTTGGCAACATGGACTGTAATGACATGTTCAGGCTCCAAAAATTCTTTTAATATAATATACTCAACCTCAATAACTAGATGTGGCAACATGGACTGTAATGACATGTTTATATAATTATTTGAGGGACTTTGCTGGCACTGTAATAAAACTGGGCACAAGAGAGCTCAATGCTGGCAACTTCAACACAGGGGAAATGCCACAGCAGGAAATGCTGCTACCCAGAAATGTTGTTCGAACTGTGGAGAGCAAGGAAATATGAGGAGCCAGTGTAAG